AATAGAAGGGGTACCCCGAATCGGGCCAGCGGCCTAGCTCAGTTGCGAAGCCCCCTGTTGCACACTTCAGGCTCACCACCTGAGATAGACAGTTTGCCCCCATTAGTAGGACTGCACATCCGCACTAGAGGTTAGGAGCTTGGATACAGCTCCCCACACAGAGCAGAGTAGACTCAACCCCGAGGGGATAGACTCAACCCATAACAGTAGAGATAGTGTAGCTATTAGCCAATAGATATGTTGGGTAGTGGTAAGTAGTTCCCCGCGTTATCTGGTCACCCCGATCTCCCACATGTGGTCTGTGGTCCATAGGTGGCTCCAGTTCAGCTGGTCATTCTTCCAGGCTGCTTCATCGGGGTTGTGGGAAGGACATAGATATGGGTAGCTAGTGTGAGACGTATTGTAAAAAAAAAAACAAAAAAAAAACGGAAGGGGTACCCTGTAGAAATCCGAAGTTAAGAAAGTCAAGAAAGGTATATAATGGATCTATTCTGCTCCATGTTGCTTGCTATCGAGGTAAAACTGTTTCATTGTTGGAATGGCTCATCCCATCTGCGCTTCATTGTCTGCAATAGACATAGAGCTGCATCGATAATGGATCTACTCATGTGGGTGGAACAGGGACCGTGGTGGTGAAAATAATACAACAAACACATCCACGAACAGGATTGAATCGGATTGATAATAATAATGTAATAATAATAACAAGGGGACCCGCTGCAGCTCCGCGTGCGGCGAAGAGGAGTTCAGAAGAATTTGAAGAAAGAATGCACTGAGTCGGAAATTGCAATTTTCGTACCATTTCCACAGGTTGAAACAGAATGTAAAGAAAAACAGGAAATTGGGTGGTGGACGATGGCGGTGAAGCAGAAAACAGTTTGTCGACACAGGCTGAAACAGAATGTAAAAAAAAGAGGACATTGTAGAAAGCATGTTACATACACCGTCTGTCGCTTCTCCTCTCTCTCTTGTTTCTCTTTTTCTCTCTTTCCTTTCGTCTCTCTCTGCATCTCTGCCTTTGTCTTTGTCTGTCCCTGTTTCTCTTCCTCCTTTCGCCTCTTGAAGGCACATCAATCAAAGTTTTCTCGTTCACCGGTGTTGAAGTTGCTTGTCCCTGCCGGGCCAATATGAAGGACAGAAGCCTTCAAAGATGTCACCTTCTGTTTGCAGATCGCTGCCGTTGTGCTGAAGTTGTCGAGGATGATGAAGGTCTTGGCATTTGTAGCCTTGCGAATCGTGATCACGGGCGCGCTGAAGAGACTTGGGCACGGAGAAAAGCAACAGCTTTGTGGACAATGTCGGCTCTGTAGACATGAAAGGGGGGGAGTTGACATTGCGCCTGACGATGATGGACAGCGATGAGTTCGCTGAGATATTCCCAAGTGCGCGGGGCGTGCGGAATGTTGTACATGTGCAATGTGTTGCGAGATGCAAGGATGTCATGGATGAGCACTGTCGCGCGGACACATCCCCACTGTTGAAGCGGGTGCCACCAGCGGGGATGTGTTTCATGGACAGGGAGGAGCAGGGGAGGTGGTGAAGATTGTGAAGATGTAATAGAGTATTTGTGGTGAGCGTGAATGATAAGATCACGTCTGTATTTGAGGAGTCCGAGGTTGGAGCCGGTCTTGTGATAGTGATCGTGTTGGAGGAGTTCCAGCAGGAACGTTCTCGACTGTGTAAAGGCTGTTCTTGGTGATGGATGCGGTGGAGGACGATTTAGTTGACGCTCGCGGGTGTTTTTGTATGTAGCGAAGAAGGCGTAGAGGGATGGGGAGTATGCGGCGTGGTCTGTGAGTAGAAAATCCTCCCACAGAATTTGGTCAATGATGTGATCAATGGTGTCGCCATTGAGGACATGTTGCCAGTCATCCCATACCTGACCCGATCCCTCTTTTCTATCTCGATCTACCTGACCCAATCCTTCTTTTCTATTCCGATCCCCCCCTCTTTTCTGCCTCTCTTCTCACATCGACTCCCTTCCTCTCCTATCCCGACCTGATCTATCCCGTCACCTCCTCGGCTTTCTCGTTTCCTTTGCCCGCCTTCCGATCCCGACTCCCCCCCTC